ACCATTACGTCTTGGATCAGCGTGTCCCTCAGGGTTATAAAGAGGGGAATTTTCCACAGCTTCAACTTGGATACTGATGTCTTTGTGCCCACATTATACCTTAAGGAACTGTGGACATCTTCTCACCAGATTGTCTAGTACTACATTTTGTGTTTGCTGTGCCAAAATAAAAAACACTGAATGAATGATAAAAAATTAAAGGAAAAAAAAATTATGATTTTTCTTTTTGAAGTAAAATACAAGCTTAAAATGATGTCTGTGGTCACCCTGTGCTGAGCAAGTTTTCTCAAACCCATTGATCTCTATTTCAGCGTACAGACAATTCTCACGCCTCCACCTGCTGAGGTCAATACACCCCCCCGGCAGGCTATTGGTTTCACCTGTCACATTGTATGGGCCAGCCAGGAACAAGGCAGGAAGTTATTGTGGGCCATTTGGATGCAGCACAGCCTCTCTCCCCTTTTTGACTTCTTCTTTTGTCTTGACCTCTGGCGTTCCCACAATTGTTCAGCGACAGGAAGCTCAGCTCGTATGAATATGAGGGAACCTTGCCATCTGTAAGGCAGAAACACAAAAGCCCACCAGCACTCACACTGCCATGATTGCTACTGCAATCCAGCGTGAAATAACCAAAATAATAATAATTTAACACTAATCTTTAGGCGAGTTTCTCTCCTTCTATTCACACGATTTTTTACTCTGCAGGACATAAATATAGATTAAATAGCTTGTGAATGTCAATATAGACATGGGAGTTGATAAAGACACTTTTGAAGCCATCAAGTCACCATCAGCAGGTGAAAAACAAAACAATGGGAAGAAACTGTTGCAGGAGAGGGAAGGATATGAACAAGAGGAGGGAAAAATGTTTAAAGGGAACTGTTTCCTGGTTTGCTTGTTTTCAGGCTTTGACACATTGTCTTGTATTCTGTGACGTGCTTCTTTCCACTAAATTTGAAACAAAGCTGAGTCAAGATAAAGATTCAAACATTCACTGCAGAGATCAGGATTTAAATCCTTTCTTGTCGTCAGTCTTATTTATCACAATATTTTGATAGAGAAAACATATCCTACATAAAATATACTACTTTCTGTTTCAGTGAAAACTACACTTTGCTTTTAATTATATTTTACACTATTAGGTTGTAAAAAGACTGTACAGTAGTTTTTATTTGTTTATTTTTTAAACTTGTCAACTAATCCGCAAATTTGATACACTTTTCTAAGCTTCACAGTGTGTAAACACCTTTGCTAAAACCTTTTACTGCTGCTGTAACACCACAATTTCCTCATTATGGGACAATAAAGGGGTTTTCTATTCTAATCTAATTGTTGTAGCTGAAGGATGAAGACAGAGTTTATGATTGATGGAAAAAAAGAAGCATTTTATTGAAGATCATGAAGCTTTTGTAGTAAAATCAGAAAATTTGGTAATTCTAATGAGCAAAAGTTTTTAAATCCAGTTATTCCAAACCTTTATGCTCGGAAACTGTTAAAAAAATATATATTTTCTTTAATCGTAGTCAAATGGTAAGATCCTTGTCCTTTTTTTTGTCAAACACATGGCACAGTATAGGAGAGCCAGTAGCTCTGGGCAAGATATAGCTGACCACTCGCACCTCAAAAATAACGGACAAAATAACGTTCGAGGAGCAAAATGTTCAGATTTTGGAAAAAGAGGATAGAGCCATTTAGTATTTACTATAAAATGCTTTCCGTAGATAAAAAGGTGTCAAATATTGGTGTTAAAATATAACATAAAGCTTCATTCAGGACATTTCTTGAAAACTCAACTTTTGATTTTGCTTTTTTAGTCAGCTACAACATTTCCGTTTTTAATAAATCATACCTACAATAGTTTTTAAGGTTTACTTTTTGTAGAACAGCATCTTTGTTTAATTTTAGTTTTTATAGCTTCATACATTCATACTCAGAAAAATAAAACGGTAAAAAAAAAATTAAAGGAATATTGGTGATTAATTAATTATTTATCAAATACACATATTTATTTTAACACTAAAATTTTAAACAAAAAAATGGCAAAATGGCATTATGTCTATTGAGGAACACTTTCTATTTTTCTACATGTATGACTGGACTGGCTGCAGCTGTGTGATGATCTACAGTTTAGCTACTTTAGGAATAAATGGTTTAATTTTCAGTGAACTAAGGGACAGACATTCTTAAACCTTGATAGAAATCCAGCTAGAATCTCTCATAGAGAGACCTCATTGTTTTCCATCACAGCTGGAGCTATTAGCTCAGTTGAAGTCCATCTGCTCCCTGTCCATCATGATGACTGTGAGGTTATAGAGTAAACCTATCTATGCTATGCTGGGTTAATAGATATTAGGTCCTATATCTTTAATCTTCTTCCTGTTCCTGTGCAAAGACGCACCAGGCTCAAGCCCCGCAGAGGAGAAAGTTCCATTTTTTTTTTTTTTTTTTTTTTTT